CCCCCAACTTCCTCTGTCCCCTTCCTCCTGCCGGCCTGATCTGCCCCCATCAGGGCAAGTGGCCGGACCCCACCCATGCACGAATTCGTGCACCAGACCTCTAGTAAAGTCATATTTGTAGATCCAGCTTTCTCCATAGGTAGGTCTCAGGGTGCACATTTACAGAGAGGTAGGCCCCAGTCTCATTTTCAGTCTAGTTTTAGTAGGGATCCCTGCATTGTGAGGGATATTAGATACTTACTTGACCTGATAATAAAGGTGATGCTCTAATGAGATGCTCATTTGGTTACCTGTATCTATTCTCAGTTGGTTAGAACCTGGAGAACATGGGTGACTGATATTCTATGGCCTTCAACACTCATGACCATAAATTCAGAAAGACTTGCAAGCATCATGATATGCTTGGTGCCTGGGTTTCCTCAGGAAGACGATGAGAGGCAGAGTTTGTGCCAAGTAGGTGTAAGGAGACAAACAAATGAAATGCAGAAGGTGAAAACTTGGTCTTCTTTTTAGATATCTAGTATCTTCACGTTCTGTAACCTGAAGCTGTTGACTTCTATCCCACAGCCTATCAGCCCCAGTAACTGCAGAGCTCGACATAAAGAAAGTAGATATTTTCCAAACCCACTCCCTAAATCACAGGGTTATCCTCTCCTAGCTCAGCTGATAACTTGATGCTGTAAAACATCATCATTTTCTCTTCCTCAGTGGAAACAGACTTTGGTATATAATTCTAAGATTGATCGAGATCCATGTTCCTTCCATTTATGTTTCCAAAGGCTTTTTTTTTTAATGGGTGTGAAAACACTTCTATACTTGTTTTGACTTTTGCTTTATCTCCTTTTTCTAGCCTCAATCCCTAGTACCTTTTTTTATTAATCCAAGAGGAGTGACTTGCAATATGTGTATATTGGAGTAATAATTCTCAACTTGCCAAAAAGTATACACAATTAGATCTGTATATATCAGTTTTAGAATAAGGGTTTCAGAGGTTCTTTATAATATCTACCTCATAGGGTAGATATCATATGGTTATATATAATATACATTATGTGTACATAAATATAGTAAAACTCAAGGCCTGGTACACAAAATTCGTGCACAGCCTGGCCGGTGATCAGGGCTGATCTGTGGGGCAACCGGTAGGGCAATTGGGTGGCCCCTGCTCACATGTGCCTTGGCTGGACTAGGGCCTGCGGTCTGGGAGCAGCTCCTGCATTGAGCATCTGGCTCCTGATGGTCAGTGTGTGTCATAGCGACTGGTCATTCTGCCTTTCGGTCAATTTGCATACTAGGCTTTTATTATATAGGATTGTGTTATCATGTAGTAGGAATGATATTAGATTCTTTACTTTGTCTCATTTAATTCTGACAGGTACAGGTGTGTGTGTGTGTGTGTGTGTGTGTGTGTGTGTGTGTGTGTGTAATACAATAATATCCTATATAATAAAAGGCTAATATGCAAATAGACCAAACGGTGGAACAATTGAACAACAGAACCGGTTGCTATGATGTGCGCTGACCACCAGGGTGTGTGTGTGGAACATGGCGGGTGTCGGCTGCGGCGAGATGGTGGAGCAGGTGAGCGGGGGCACCAGACCAAGGCGGGGCACCAGTTGCTGTCATTGGGGTGAGCCTTGGGTGGCTACTAAAAATTCTTTGTTCCTGCGCACCACGGTCCTGCCTGGTGCTTGCACCTGATGCCGGTGCCAGCCCCGCTTGCACCCGCAGCTGGTGCCAGAGCTGGCACTTGTACACGCTGCTGGTGCCTGGCGCCAGTCCTGATTGCTCATCACCATCAGTGGGTGCGAGTGGCGGCTGCCAACCCTGATTGCCCCTGAGGCTTCTCCATCTCCCCCTGCTCCTGAGGGGCGATCGGGGCAGCAGTTGCTGCTTGCACCCACTGACAGCGACGACCCAGCTTGCACCTGCTGCTGGAGCCGGCCCCAATTGCTCTGTGCTGTCAGCGGGTGTGAGTGGGGCCAGCGCCATCAGCGCATGGGAGCGGCAGTGGGAGCGGGGCTGCTGGCAGACAGGGCACCAGGGGCTGTGGCAAGAGGGGCCGGGTGGGGGCACAGAGGATGGGACGAGATCTGCCCCTGTGCCTACTGCAGCCTTGCAGCCCACAGTTCCTTCCAAGGTGCATGAATTCATGCACTGGGCCCCTAGTATACTATATATACAATTATATATACAGCATATAATGAGAAAAAGAATCTAGTATCATTCCTGGTATATAATATGCACTTACAACTGTTATTAATATTGAGAATAAGAAACAGAGATTTTGATAAAACTAGTCAATTAGAAAAACCTGGAGAATAGATAATTTATTTTTTTGTAATTAAGAACAGAATAGAAATTGATCACAAATCTATCCCATGCTTGATTTACAGCTTCAATTATGCATATGACTTAAAGGACTTAGACCAGATGTCATCCTAGGCACAGAATATTAGGGCTGGAAAGGCCAGTGAAGACCATCAGGCACAACTTCTTCATTTCACATATTTCACATGCATGCAAACTGAGATCTAATTGGTCCCCAAGACTTTCTGGCTATTTCCACCATATACAGATGCAAAATATCCTAATGAAATCTGATGTCTAAAAAAAATCTGGAGGTGATTTTTGTTTGTTTGTTTTTTGCCTCTTCAGATTTTTGGAAGTATGTTTTCACTTTTAATTTGCATGTTAGTTCCCATGCAGCCAAGCCTTTCTCCTTTTCAACAAGAAGCTATGATGTAACTAAAAACAAAGAGCTTGGAGTTGGAAAACTGCTGAGTATCAGATACTGCCTGGAACTGTGGAACTGATCCTTAGGGTAAGTCATTACTAATGGTTTCCCATTGGGAGTTGATTCTCATAAGACAACTCAGGGGCCTCCCCATCACTAACTCAGCCATGATTACATGTTGCATGTGAAAACTGGGAGTGATTTTTAGCTCTGAGCAGTTGAATACTTATAGTATATTTTGGAAAAAGTGTGTTTTGCTTAGGTGACAACATTAGGAAAATGGCAACTTTCAAAATGAATTCAATGGCTTGCTTCTTTAACTGGTCTGGTTAATCCCATTATGTCAAGGATCCTGTTATCACCACATATAATATCATCCTATCATTAAAACAGGTTCTAAAACATAAGGAAACAAGCAAAAAACACACTAGTTCAAAATCTACTTCCTTCAGGAAACCTCCCATGAGTAATCATAATTTACCTAATGCTTTGAACCTTTCTATTGAAATCACAGAATACTGAATTCCATAAAAAAATTTAAAAATATATTTGTGCTGTTACTTATTACTAAACATCTTTTAAGTCTTCCCCAGTTCTTTATTTAAAATCTCTGCCGATAGCAGGCAGCCCTGGGTTTGAACCTTGGCTAACTTTCTAGCTGCATGATCTTGGAATAGTAAGTTTCCTCATCTGTAAAATCAGGACAAAAATGGTACTCATCTCCCGGGGATGGCTATGGGGGTTGAGATAGCATATGGAAAGGACTTAGCAGAGTGTGTGGTACATAGTAACTACTTATCAAATGCCCGTGCTCATTATTGCCTGTCCATTTTATTTTCTCCTGGAGGCAGTAAGGTCTATTAGGAAGAGCCTGGGTGCGCAGTGAGTCAGTTCTGGTGTTCAGTTGCCACCACTTACTGAGAAATTGAATTAACCCTTTGTGCCGCTACTTTCTCATTTCCCAAATGGACATGCTGTAGTCCTGTCCAGTTCCCTGGGTTGCTGAATGCCTATGATGTCCCCTTACTCCCCAATGCATTATGAAGTGTATCCCAAGGGCAAGGCAAGGTGTCACAAGAAGTTTCAAAAGAAAATAAACGCACGGTCTCCACTGTGGGCATGGAGAGCATCTCCCAAAACCAAGTCAGCCACTCACAGTGAAGTGCTGATGACACATGCACATCACAGTGGGTCTCCCCTCCCACCCCCATGCCCCTTCATATTGTGCCCGGTGTTCGGTGCGAGCCCCTTTTTCCTGGTATATTTTCACAAGTCAGCAGATCCTCAAAGCCCTGGCGAAACGGGAACAGTCACAAGCTGTGCAGTGCCACAGCAATAGAATAACACAAACCTCTTCTTCCTAACCCCGGGCAGGTCTCAGCCGTCTGGGAGCGGTAAGGCTTAGGGCGAGGCCAGCCGCATGCAGGAGGACGGGAGCGTGGCGGAGGCCCCTTTCCAGCGTCCCCGGCCTCCCGTGCCCGCCATGGAGGATTTTCCTCGAGCGTGGTGACCACCAACCTGAGGCGTGGCGGCGGCCGGGAGAACTCCAGTCCTCACACGGTTAACCTTCTCCCGAGGCGGCCGGAGGAGGGAGAAGGGTGGGTCCCCGCCCACGAAAAACGAGGATCACCTCGGCCCGGGGCCCCGCCCCCCTCCCGGGCCCGGC